AGAAGTTAAAAAGAATTTTCTAAAATATCAGCCATTTTGTAAAAAATGTAATAGAGGATTTATGTTTGGGCTTAGATAATTTATTCAGACGTAAAAATAAAGTACCAAAGAACATTTCTTTACGTTGTCTAAAAGATTTCGCTTCATTTCTTTGAATTGCTGACTTGTAGATCATTTGAGAAAATATGTTTTATGATACGCACTGAGAATTAATACAGTTCCAAATTCTGCGGTGTTAGTGAGAAATTTGACGTCGAGAAAATCTAATAAATAATAACTGACACTGTCTTTTGTTTAATCAGTCGCGAACACTGGAGTTAGGTCTTGCTCGTTCTTCTCCATAGGAATGTACACCTTGGAATGAGCAAACAGCTCTTCACTATTAATTTTTATTTGACGTTCATAAGTGCCTTTCTGGTCTAATTTAAATAAATGATTTTAACTTTAATACTAATAAAACTGAATTCGAATATAGAATTGGAGCATAGTAAGACTGTCTGATATATCCTGAGTTTTATCTAAAGTTTTCCTGGGAATAAAAATGAATTACGAAATATTGTAACATACTAGTGACACGCGCGCGGTTTCATCCGCCAGGGATTATAGGTACATATACAACTTCACGCCTGTCTCTCATGGGTGTAGGCAGAGACTATGGAACGCTAATTACCTACTAAGATTCTTTCGCTTGATGAACAGTCACCAGTCTTTTCAAGCATGCTCATCGGTTAAGGGTACTTGTAATTTGGCATTTCTTTAATATCTTTACAATATTATAAACTAAAAAATACGTACAAAGATAATAGACTAAATGGAGAGTTACGTAATAAAAAAAAAAACATCACGATTAAAAAAATTGGTTCAAAATAAAAACAATAGAACGTCTACTTAAATAATGTCCCTTACAAAATAACAACATTCTTACATTATAAGAGAAATTGGCTTCGCATTAATACACGAACAAGATGTATTACTTCCACAAGAGTGCTGAAGTGAGGAAATAAGGATGGAGATAAGACGTTTAATCTACTTACGATTCATTGAGTGCCAATTACAGACACCCCATTTAATATCCCTCGTAGCAGATTAAGGTCCCTAAGAAGATAGAGACAAAAAATCGTGGCAACTGTGAAAAAAGTCATCGATGAGAGAGACAAAACATTTGTAGTCTATGAAATTGATTTAAGGTAACATGCAATTTTTACAACATAATTTATATCGAATTAGGATTATATTTTATTTCGATGTGTGTTTTAAGTTCCATATAATAAATTGATCTAAGTGTCTTTTTTTATTCAAGATAAATTCTATCGGTGAAATAATTTTGAATAGTGACAATTTTTAACCGACTTCAAAAAAAGCTTTTTTATGTTTGTTTCCATAAAAAGAAATTCAAATATCAGTTTTATTCAACAGGTAACAATAGGGTAGATAAATATTTTTTATTTAAATGTGCGTCTGGTAGATTATTTATAAACATTAGACACGTATTTTTATTTTCTTAGGGAAACACATAGTTTCGAAGATTTGAAATATCGCATGACGTCACTTTTGAGTACGATTTATACTCTTAAAGTGACGTAGATACCTCCCACTCCTTAACTTTGATTCGTTTTAGCTAAGTATTGTTTTCTTATGCGACAAAATAAAAAAATACGTGTCTAATATTTTTTCATTACCTACCTAACTTACGGACTAATTAGATTTTTAATTTTTATACCCTGTCATCATCCCTAGTTAAAAAATCTTTCGCAATGCATTACTTAATTAAAATCAAATTGAAAGCTGCATTCAGGTTTCATTGTACGATGCATTGAGTGTAACTAATCGTACCTTTTGCAAAATAAAGTCACATTTCACGTAAAAAACATACCAGGTACCAGAATATTTTACACCCGTGGACGACACGACGTACTTAAATAGCATTTTGAAGGAAGTTTAAGAGTCTAGTACGCCACGAGTCCACTCCTGCATGCTGGCAAGGCTCAAGTAGCCAATTTACGTCTTTTGATACTCCGCTTACAAGATGAAATGTAAGAAAAACTGTTAGAATATTTTTTATCAAAATCTTTATTGATATTGTGACGGAGATGAAGAATGTGTCTTCTCTATAAATATTACTTGTGGATTACAATAGATATTCAGCTTAAGGCTCTCTATAGCAAAAAAATATGAGATTTTCAAATTGGTTTGTATTGTGGTAGGTCATCTGCACAATTTCAGAGTCAAAGCAAACATCTTCAAAGTTCGAGGTGGACAATACTCCACTAAGAATATTGATAATGAAAATCTCTGTAATAGTATCAGGTTGAGACCTGATAATATACCTACCTATAGGTAAAAATAAGCCCTTTTGTTATTACTCGCCTAATTAATCTGTGTGTAGTTGGACACACTGTCTTCCCATATCGAATAAAAGGCGATATGTTATATTTTTTATCCACACATAACACATAACATAACATCACGCCTTTTATCCCCGATGGGATGGCAAAGGTGCACATTATGGCACTTAATACCATTGTACAATGTAACACCAACTTTTCACTATTTATGTTATGAGTCCCATGCAATAGGGGGTGAGCGTATTGCCATATATCGGGAACAATTCCAGACTCCGTGATACTACTGAGATTTTTTTTACAAACCCAATAACACTTTGCCTGGGAATCGAACCCGAGCCCCTTGCCCGGCAGTCGTAATTGCTACCACTTGGCCAACGAGACAGTCATTTTTTATCCACACTATTTAAAATCTTTTCTTAAAAAAGAACTAAGAATTCACTTTCAAAGTAAATCTTTAATTAATATTCTCGACAAAGTGCCGGCACTCGAAGACTAATAAAAAGTGGTTTTACTAACAAATTAAGAACTTGAACGCACTAAGTTTGGGATGTAGAACATTTTGTTTATGTGTTTAATAAAAAAACAATTACAAAGGACCGTTTAGTCTCACGTATAAAGGAGGGTGAAGTTTTAACAAGTTAGAAGAGGCTCTTCATATTAATTACACAGGTTTTATTCTTGGATGAAAAAGCTTCGCTATTTTGGGACAAAATGTACGTGGGGCGCGTACATAAAACTCTGTAGGCCTATTTTTTTCTTGGATAAGCCGGTAAATAAGCAGTCGGATCACCTGATGGTACGCAATCGGCGTCGCCCATGGACACATGGAACACCAGAGGTAGAGAGTTACGTTAATGGCCTTTTGGGAATTAGGGATTTGAGGAATCTTGGGCATTCAGGGATTGGGGAAATTGGGGAAGGATGGGCGTAATTAGGCCTCCGGTAACCTAAATCACACAACACGAATCACAACGCGAGCGTTGTTTCATGTCGGTCTGTGAGACTGTGGTATCACTCCGGTCGAGCCGGCCCATTCGTGCCGAAGCAGCAAGGCTCACACACACTTGTGCATCAAATATTTTTGCATCTTTTAATTCAGAAAAGATAACAATGATGAATCTCGTACTCGTACAATGTGACACTTATATTACCTTATTAGTCCCATAAAATCAAATGTTTTTTTTAATTATAATGCTGAAGAGTTTCTTTGTTTGTTTGAACGCGCTAATCTCTGAAACTACTGCTCCGATTTGAATAATTCTCTTTGTGTTGGATGGTGCATTTATCGAGAAACGCTATAGGCTATAAAACATCACGCTGCGATCAATAGGAGCCGAGCAAAGGGGGCAAACCCGAGCGAAAGTAGCTAGTAAGTTATACATGGTCTGATACAAAATATGATTTTTCTTTATTATCAATGGTACTACATCACTATAACAATTAGTGCAAAATCCTGCATAAAAAACTACAAATATGAACGAAAATAAAATAAAATTAAAGATGCAACATTAGTATCGTATTTCCTCACACACTCAGAACCATGTCGATTGAGAAATTTCTCACGTAATAATTAGTTTCTAGAGCTCTCAACGTCTGAACATGATATCGTTGGAGGTTCAATTAAATAAGCTAACATAATAATATGTATCTATATTACTAATACATAATAATTATCGTTTATCGAAGCCTGTACTGTTCATGTGTAATAGACACTAAGTTCTAATTGGTGAAACAAGTGAATTTATTTCTGTAAATAGGCTGCAAGGCAGCACTTTACACGTCAATTTTATCAAGCGAACGATGAGGTTGCATTTCCTAATTGACTATGTACTCTGAGAAGAAATGCCGAAACAAACTCAGAGGTCCGTCTCTTGTCTCATTGGGACTGGTGAGACCAATAGTCTTTGATATGCTGTAAGTTAATTTATGTCTGACTAGCTATTGCCCGCGACTTCGGCCGCGTAGAACATGAATTCTAGAACGTAACTTTCTTTTCTTTCTGGTTGGTAAATGACCCAAAAAATAACATAACATAACATCATGCCTTTTATCCCCAAAGGGGTAGGCAGAGGTGTACATTACGGTACTTAATGCCACTGTACAATGTAACACCCACTTAATAAGGGGTGAGACTATTGCCATTTATCGGGGACAATTCCAGACTCCGTGTTACTGCTGAGATTTTTTGAAAAAACCCAATAATTGTTTGCCCGACACTGGAATCGAATCCGAAACCCTTTGCCCGGCAGTCGCACTTGCCACCACTCGGCCAACGATACAATATCATAGAAAACTATTGGTTGTACAAGAAAAATAGATATTGTTATTGACACTTTAAGCAAAATAAACAAGCTTCAATAACACGTCAAAATAATTTTATTGACGCAATGTAAGTGATCAAAAACAATTATTACCTCAACACTGAAATAAGTTGGTACACACTCGCTGGGGAAATAATAATATTTATTAATATGACATAATATAATAATTCAACAACAAAATTAGACTGTAACATCGTCTACATAAAGTTCAAAATCATGTCATTTTCCTATTTATTGTGGTCTTCACGAGGGTTTTCCTCAATGATTTCACTATTGGTCTGGTTCCGTTCAGTGATCAACTAACATGCAGTAAATTCAGTGTTTGTCCAGTAAAATGGCATTATATTATATATTTATTATAATTAATGTGTTAAATATTGTGTTCCGACCTTGTTGGGCATTGGAGTTTCCTAAAAATGAAACCAGCGATTTAAAACGTAAGTCATAGGATGTTTTTTGTAAGAAAAAGAACCTTATGCGGTGTTAATTAAATTCATTTTTAGGCATTTCATTCTGATATGTTTCTTTGGCCAAGTATTAGTTTATTATTTAATGTTTAAAAAAAGTAGTTGTAAAGATATTGTCTTAACAATTAAATTACATATTTGAGATTAAAACGAACAATACCTAAAAAAAATCTTCCTTCGCATTTATATAGTCAATAGTGTAATTGAAAATACATATTATATGAAAGTTAACTGCCCGTTTTTATAATAAACTATACAATTGACTTAGATAGATTTTTAAAATAATATTTGTAGGCAAAAAGTCTTATAATATTAACATAAAACATTGTTCATTTTCCTTATGGCGTGGTCACTCCCAATACTAACAAAGACTGCACAATATATGTAAATGACCTATTAATAAACATTGTAATATATCCATTTTCAGATTCAACAATTACCAAAAGAAGTACATACGAAACGGACAAGAAATATGTTCTCATGCCAAAGTACTCAATTTACCTTATCGGATTCACTATGTTAATTATGCTCATAGCAATAATTGCACTGTCAGTGGCTTTGTACCGGGCTATCAAAAAAAGATCAAAGTTTGGTGTAAATGAGAACAGCCAACAATATATCAGACAAGAGTCTACAGCAGTTATACCATTGTATAATAGCACTTATGATGAACAAAATAAGAACAATGGAAGCACATTGACAGTCAACAGTGGTATCATAGAAATAAGTGAACCAAGAATAAGTGAACCTGAAAGCCCAACACGCGTCGATGACTCCAGAATAGTTTTTACTAGGAAACCTATCAAACCAATAGTACCAGTCATGCCTCGTGGGCAAATGGATGCAATATGTAAGGAAGTATTAAGAAGAGTACAAAAAAGTGATTCAGCAAGCTTTAGGGATTTAAATGAAATGTTAAGTGGAAAGAAAGATGAAAACGAAGAAGAAAAGTGTGAAACAGTAGACGAAGCTGAAAACGAAAAGAAGCACGAAGAAAAAACTGAACCAAAAATAGAGTTACCACAGTCAAAACTCTCGGAATCGAATATAACACCTGAATTATTATTGAAACTAAACGCTAGATCTCAACAACTTCAAAACCAAATTGAAGATGATATGAAAAATGAGACCAAGCAGGAAAATCCTATAGAAAAAACACACGAATGTAATGATAAATCAAAAGCTGATATCAATAGCGATGTACATATTGAGATAGACTACATAAACATAAATAAAATAGATGATAGTAGCAGTTCAGAAACTGAATACGATACAGTGCCTACTCCAATAAGGTTTAGACATTCTGGACCTGAACCTGACAATTTAAATGTGGAGGATATCCCTGTATATGATCTTCCACCAAGAAGGAGTCATGATGGTCACACAGCACATGTAGGAAATATGGTACAAATTGACCAAGATTCGGAGTACATGATGCCACTTTCTGAGGATAAGACAGATTCGTGTTATATCAACGCAAAGAGGAACTCATTCAATTTATAGTAATTGGTTCAGATAGTTTTTATCTACACTTGAAAAACGTGTAAGATAACGTATGTATGTCATGGTTCAGGCATATTACTTATCTGTGGACTCACAGAAGACTGATTCGCGTCTCTGGGTTGTCCATTCTAGTAGAGAACAGGTCTGATGTCATGTTTGGTCTCTATTATGAAAGTGGACCTTTAATTATTGTCGTCAGTATTATATTAAATAGAAATCTAAACGTAAAAGCCAAAGATGCTGAAAAACATGTCCTGCATTTTACTGACAATTCATATTGCTTTAGATGCTTTTTAGTGTTGCATAGTTGTAGACCAAGCTAGTGCGACGCGTCTTGCATCTGTAATGATCGGGATAAGCAATCCTGCGGTTTGAACAGGGTACTGTGCGATGCTATGCGGTGGGTATGGTGCTAGAGTTGTAAATATTGTAAATTAAGTACGCATTATAAGATGTAAGTCGCTTACAACTGGCCTATCTGAAAGTTATTGGAATGTATTCAGTAAGAGACGCCTTGTAGTTAATATGACGATGAAGATAATTCAAAGCATAAATGACACTTTACGTTTTTCATCAAAATTTTTTGCGGTAGGTTCAATTGACTCAGTCCTTATTGTAATGACTAATAACATAACAGAACTTTACGAACCTGTTGTGGTGACGTTCATGCATTGTTAGCTGTAAATATAACGCTATAGGGGATAAAATAGAAATATTTATTAAATAATGTGTATAATAATACTGTAGTACCTATTTTAATAAAACTTATAATTAGTTTTGACTTATGGGTTTCAATTTTTCCTTGTAATATGTTCTGGGTGTACCAACGTGTTGTAAACTTGTTTTTGACATATTATTATCTAAGTAGGGAAATATATCATCACTCTAATACATTCACCGCTGCACCATTTGGCACTTATAAAGATATTTATAATACGACGAAAATTTATATTGAGATTATTATTACTAACATTTGGCAAATATAATCTGTAGCCACAGAAATATTAAAAGAGTATTGTATCTGTGTCTGTAGCTTTACTGGGGTCTGGTATCTGTCGCGTCATCTCGTTTATCCCTTATCCCTTAAGGAGGGTGTCATCACTGCGGGGACCGCCCTGAGGACACGGTGGAACACACGGTGGGAGAATGCCCTGCGTGGGCTGAGCACCGCCGTGCCCTCAGGGAAGTGTTCGGCGATGGCGACCTCTCGCGTCCGGGCCTAGTGCAGGCCATGATGCGGAGCGAGGGGGACTGGGATGCCGTCTCCTCCTTTTGCGAAGCAGTCATGCTAGCTAAGGAGGAGGCGGGACGCGTGAGGCAGTCATTTGATGATTTTCCCCCCTTAAAAAAAATCCCTTAAGGAGAACATTAAACGGTAAAAGGTAACTGGAATCATTGACTAATTTTATACTGACGTGATCATATAAGTGTAAAAATTTCATCATTGGTAATGGTGGAGCTACATTTCTTTTTATTTCTTTTTTATAAAAACGTTGCCCGCAATAGTATTTTATTCTGTGTCGTGGTCGCGTTTACAAACATACAAGTCCACATACACATGACACCCAGATCGGAAACATCAATTTATGGATCACACACGGCAGCCGGTTGCCCGGTCACCGCGCCAACCGTGCAGTTAACATTAGCAGGCTACGGCAATGCATATGCAGTCGATGAAGCATTGAGGCAATGTCGGTAAACTGGCGCGATTCAAAGGACTTGTCGCAACAATATTCGCTTGAGCGACCACACCTACATAACTTCAGTTTCATCCAATTTTCCCCCGCTAATGTAGCCCCAGCATAACAAAATGGTTGAAAATCCACCGACAACATGTTTATCAATTCTAAAGGGTACGTTCTATGAAATATTCAAGATTTATATATTTCTCGATACATTTTCTTTAGTACCGTATACGAAATATCTCGACGACACTTGAAATTTTATTCTTGGCAAAATATTTCAAAGAGGCACTTGAATTCAATATGTTGCAGTGGCGTTATACGTGTTTTGTACATTTAGTACTTTTGAATCGATATTATAAAATGAAATCGAGTTAAATAGGCACATTAGTTGAACTTGGATACATTTGTGGAGTTTGTTTACTATACACGGCGCGGTGCATTTGTGAATCCGTTTTTACTTGGTTCAATTTATCCAATAATGAAATACGAATTGTCAGCATCGTTCTTGTCCACTTTTTTTAAGGTAGTGAAATCATCGAATGACTGCTCCCGCCTGGGTGAGGCGGGAGGGAGATTTTTACTGACTAAAAACCGCCCCCGTTCCTACCCCTGCCCTTCGAGACGGAGCCCCGGCAACCCGTTAAGTCCTCCGCGGCTCCGTATCGGCATCAGACCAATTCGGCCCCATCCGTGGTGGTCTGATGGCTCTTGGAGGCGCGCGCGAAACGCGACGCGCCGTACGCTCGGGTCTGGTTCTGGTCTGGCGCCGAGCCACCCATGCTCGCCGTTCGCAGGACCATGTACACTAGTTATTAAAAATGATTAAAAACAACCTCGACTAAAATTTTACCCTAAAAATATTACCCATGAGACTGCCCTTCCTAAAAATAACATATACACACATGTAGGTACCTAAAGATTTATCACTTTTAATACAAAAAATAAAAGCTTCATCAGACTGACGGAAAATTCATTTTGAATAAATTAAATTCTACCAGGCCGCCATTTTGTCTGGATTCCTCTGATCCTCATTACTTTTAATCTTCAGTTACTTACGTCGGCGTCTTTGGATACGACTTGTATAAATACACATGTAGTCTCCTGAAATGAAAGTTTAAATTAAAAATTGTTGAACATTGTGGTACTGTGTTAACATTACGTTTTTTTTTAATGGCATGAGCCGGTAAACACCTGTAATATACCTGGATCACTAGAGGCATTACAAGTGCGTTACCGGCCTTTTGGGACTAGAAGTTTGAGGATTGTTGGGGATTCAGGAATTGGGGAGATTGGGGAAGGGTAGGATAATTAGGCGTCCGGTAACCTCACTCACACGACGAAACACAACGCAAGCGTTGCTTCACGTCGGTTTTCTGTGAGGCCGTGGTATCACTCCGGTCGAGCCGGCGCATTCGTGCCGAAGCATGGCTCTCCCATACATATTATATACTGAGAGTGTTATGTTGTGTGTGTATCCATAATTATTAGGCGTCCGGTAACCTCACTCACACGACGAAACACAACGCAAGCGTTGCTTCACGTCGGTTTTCTGTGAGGCCGTGGTATCACTCCGGTCGAGCCGGCCCATTCTTGCCTTTGTGCACGTTTGTTTTGTTTTGTGCAGCGTTAAAATAATTATGTTTTTTGTGAATAATATTTACACATGTGGACTTATTTATTTTAAATTTACATATGTAGAAATATATGTTTTTTTAAATAGGTCAATTAGAATAACAATTTGAAAATATTTTCATTCTTAACTACACAAGCGAACACTTTACTGGATCCGGATAACTTAGTGTGTCACCGCAACGGTGCACCGATTCGAAGCAGGAGAAGGAAAGCATGAATCTGACAATTCTTCTGCCTTCACTCAAAGCGGGATAAAATATTCAATTATTCCTTACTCAAAAAAGAGAAATTTGCTCTAGAAATTTAAATACGATGTAGTGTAGTAAATGGGCTGCAACATACAATTTTCATTGAATGTGTTATGTTTGGAGTATAATTGTGACTTTCTATGGGACGAGATATCTACGAATAGTATTTTCTACCAACAAAGTTTTCGGCAAAACGAGCTGTCTAGGAATAGCGATTTCTATGGCTAGTGCTTTCTATGGAACGAGTTATCTACGAACAATATTTTCTACCAATGAAGTTTTCGGCGAAACGTGCTTTCTGAGAATAGAAATTTCTATGAGCCATGCTTCCTGCATCCAGTAGTGTCGTATAAACGTGATTCTGTATTACGTTCCACACTCTGTGAATCATCAATTTCTTTTAGACATCTACGGTATCTCCGGTATCTCTGAAACGCTAGACAGACCCTAAAATGTCCAAGTTTTAGATAAAACTACAACATATTACAATGCACAAAATTAAACAAATAAAATAAAATTCCTTGCGTTAAAACTGGGTCGAATTATTTTAACGCAACTATTGTTTATAAACCTGTCCATTTCACACTCCAGTCAAGATCAAATACGAATGGAATGTTTTATTTGATGTAAGGCCACATATAAATCTTGTGGAATAATAGAATATCAACTTCGTTTAAATATCGTTGAATGATGAGGCGCATAAGTCAATTACATTATCATTTCACGCCCTCGCCCCAATTTCTATCGGGTCACATTATATTCGCACGTTTTGACCCATATATCTTCGGTCTATTACACATTTATGAATGTCCTGTATAATAATAATTATTATGCAAATATTAAACAAAACATTAAGTCAGGCTTTCTCTGAAATGTTAGATAATGATGGCGTAATAAATGCAATAGTCATTTGGAGCAATTATTTATTAATTCTGATGTATTTTTCCTCAAAATAAATGTTCAATCACTATTCAATTTTATTGATTCCCTGAATTTTTCTTAACAACAACTCATTCTGAGAACTGCATTAACTGATTTAATAAATGTTTATTTTCAAATGTCAGGACCCACTAAAATCATTTCATTTTCACAGTGAAGTATCGTTCGGAAAAGTTCAAGGTTAGGCCGCTTACTCATGAATTGGAGCAGTTGCGATTTCACGTCAAAGCAATGCAATTGCATAATAATTTTCCTCTATGCCACCTCGAAAGCGAGCTTAAAAGCGACACGGTTTTAACTGAACCAAATGAAACATATAGAGGTGATTTTTATTTTATCTGAAACATCAATTTCTTTTTTTTTCTCGTTATTTAATTAGGATCTTGTGTCCATAAATACATGACAGCCCCTTTTTACCATATACCTATTGTATTTTAAACTTATACAGACAAAATACTCTTAATATCTATTTTATAAAACGAAAATCTGCAAAGCTATACCACTTTTTGGTCACATCAGATAAAGAAGCAGATAAAATTTCTTATTCGACGTTCCTGTAACGCATACCGATAACTATTTTAAAGCTATAACTGTTAAAATATAAGTAAATCTCTTATACGCAGCCAACATTTTGGGTAAATACACACGTATATAAGGAAAAACGTACAAGTTATTCTATTTTTTAATAATCTTTTCTTAATAATAGCGTTTTTTGTATGACCCCAAGATTATACAACCATTTGCCAAACGAATGGCTACATATACAATCTTTGAAGGTTTTTAAAAATAGAATAAAAAGATTTTTAATCTCTAAGGCATATTATAGTGTTACTGAGTAGGTACTTAGACGACAAAATATGATGTATTTTTATTGTATTTTTATTTTATTTTGTTTAATAATTTTTATCTTGTTTTTATTTAACTATTGACATTCTGATTGTTTAATATTGTGACATTTAAATTTTTAATCCTATGTGACCTAATAATTAATAATTCTAATGACATTAAGTAATAATAATCAATCCAAATCTTTGTTTCCAACTATTTTCTAATTTTGTATGCTGAAAAAGCCAACATAGCGTTTAAAATTGTTATTTAAGACCCTAATGTTACCTATGTTCACAATTGAATAAATGAATTTGAATTTGAATTTGAATTTCATTGTTCCAAATACCACAGAGATTGTGGGCATTATAATTCGGATTTCGTTTTCAGAAATTGCGTGGTAACTTTACAG